TTCGTCATGTGTATGCCACGTAGTTTATGATATAATAACAATAGTGTAAAAGAGCTACACACCCTATTTTATTTCTAAAGGTGTCGTAACCCTCTAATCGACATTACATTTTCATTATCCGCACCCCTATGATACGAGTTATTACCCTTTAATAACTTATATTGTTTCAAGCATCTAACTTTTTCACTTGATCTGAACAAATTATTATACATTACCCAACCGTCTGTATAATAAATAAATAATGTGAACAGCTCCTAAAATTGAACAAATAATTTTTAAGAATCACCGCTCGTACCTATCAATGCAATGGAGGCTATCAAAAAAGTCTTTTAATCTTAGGGTATTTTTGATTGCAAAGGTGGAAAATGGTTGGAAAGAAAATATTTTACTGGGAATTGTAATTAATTGTGTTTGATTGGTATACTTTTCCACCTGGAAAATGTTAAAATTNCAATAAAAGTGATAAAAAAAATTTACCATTGTGTCTAGAATTTTTTTCAATTGCCAAAAAAAAAAAACCTGGAAGAAAATATTTACCAACCAAAACATCAAGAATTTGATTTCCTCAAAACGGTGGAAAATTTCAAAAGTTGGAAAACATTTAGCCCGGGAAAATTTTGCTTATCAAATACTACAAAAATTGGAAAATTGAGTTTTTTTTCCATTTCCCATGGAAAATATGGTGTATCAAACGAAGCCTTAGTGCTTCGCCTCATCGATATATTTGTAATTTGCTAACTCTACTAGTTAAAACTTGAAGTCATTTGGTTAACTAATAAACTTAAATGTAATTATAAAAAAGTTAATAATATTTTTGAAAGTATACTCGAGTTCAAGTTATTCAAAGAACAACTAAAATTGTCTTAATAAAAAAGTTGAGAAGTCGATTTGATAAGCCAATAGATGTGAAAAATATTATAAAATGCTATATTTTTGTTGAAATTTGAGTCGGGTTCAAGTTAATCAAACCACTTTAATATTTCGCCCCCTGTTTGTCTCCAATTTTTTCAAAATTACTTTTTCTACGTATTCATTTTCAACCACATATTCACACAATAAAATATTCTACATGTAAATCCAAAATTTTTCCTTATTTTTTAATCACGCATTCTTCAAAAATTCACTATTTAAAATAATATTTTTCCAAAAAAAATGACCACCAAACAAGAGCTTAAATTCAACCAATAATGGCCTTTGAAGTTATGAATTGGGACTATCTTCCATGTAGGGGAAAAGGCAACACTTGGTGTAGACATAAGTTTTGCATTGCAAAATTCCACACAAACATGATAGTTAAAGGGGATTCCTAGGTTTTGATCTACATTTTACTTGGCAAATGTATATTTACCTTGCTAATTTTGTTTAGCTATGTCTACTTCAGACGTTAATCGATCATCTTATAAAGTCACTATTTGACTCTCATTTTCTAAAATTCATTTTTCCTTAAACTCGTTTTCAACTATATATTTATGTGTGTCACAATTTTTATCAAATTTTCAATTACATATTTCATCAAATTTTATCAAAAAAATTTTTAGCTGAACCAAGCAGGGGCAGAGTATGTGCAATTTATTTCTATTCGTTCCTTGACTTTCTTGATTGACCTAAGTAACTGATGATTATTTTATGAGGAGTCTCGAATAATCTATTTTTGGTGGCCACAATTTTTAGAAATGTTTGGACTCTCATTGAATAAATCCAATTTGATGAAAGAAAGGAAGTTCAGAGTCCACACAATTGTATGGTTTACATATAAGTTTGAGATTCTTGAAAAAAATGTCTCCTAATAACACCAAATCTTGTTTATAGGAAAAATTGCATCGAAGATCCTAACATATACCGAATAGCAAATCGTTGTTCGACCTCTAAAATTTTTCATATAATCGTACAATCAGAACGTAAAAATGGAAGCTATCCATAACTCTCTTAAATTATCATTTGATCCTTATGTATATCTAACTTAAAAGTGTAGATTTTGTTTCTCAACTTCAGTGATATATAAAATTTAAAAATTTTATGTTGGCAATGACGATTTAACAAAGAGGTAGATGATTCTGACTATATGAAGCTTGATTATGTAACTATAATGAAAATTTGAGTACTAACTAGCTCGTTTTTGAAGATCGGAGACCAGTCGAACAACGAGTAGAGAATAAATAGTGCAATTTTCCCATGAGAGTGTGTACACGTGGCATACAAAATGAGAGGATGAAATCAATTACTTGTGTTTGGGGAAGAGTATATGCACCACAAAATGCAATAAAATCTGCATGGCTTTATCTCCATATCTACTTTCATTGTCCTCACAAAATGCGAAGGGCAAATTACCATAAATGCCCTTGTTTGTTATTCATAATTTTTTTTTGAGAGAAATCTTTCCTCTTATATATTTTATCCCAATATGCAATTTTATTTTTTGAGCATCAACTTTTTTTCTTCTTAATTACAATATGGAAATCACTAAAGTAAGTGAATTTTTCATATTTTAAAATTTTTAAAAAGGTAACAAACCATGATGTATTAAATTTTGTTCGAGAAATTTGAGTCGAATACTCAAATTCTTTTTCATTATTGATTCGTTTTCCATGCTAAATCACATAAAATAGTGGGCACCTTTTTTCGGTTAGAAATACTTTTTTTTGTATTTGTATTTGTATTTGTATTTGTGTTTTTCATCTTTTTAGAATTTAATTTTAATTTTATTAATTGTTTGAGATCGTTTTCCCAAAAATCATTTTCAATCCTACATTCTCATAATAGAATAATTTTCATGTAAATTCAATTTTTTCAAATTTTTATTTCAAAATATATTAATCCAAAAAAGGGACTCAAGTAAGGGCTAAATAAAATGAGAATCCCTCAGAATTATGAAAAATAATATTTATTGCTTGTTTCATTTCAGTAAATTTAGTATCCATTTTTTTGCAAAAATATAATTCTAAATAATGAATTTTTCGATATCGTGTCATTAAAATGTAAAGAAAAATTTTGGGCTTATAACATAATATTTTATCGTGGAAACGTGGGATTGAAAATAGAGTGATGCTACAAGTATATAATGATCTACATAATTACAAGTGGCATTGATAAACACTTTTAATTCAAATTTGACACATTCATGTCAACGACAGGATGATTGCCACATCACATTATGTCATCTATTGTATACATTTATTATGTACCCTTGACATTTTACTTGAAAATATTACTAAACTGAACCAATTTTGAAAGAATGTGAAAAAAACCGGGGCAGAGATAAGAGTATACTTGCGTCTTCTTCCCCCATTGATGGACTGAGATAGAGTTTCTCTTCCACTCTGTTAAGACATACAGAGCTTCAACCTTAGAGAAACTCTCTCTATATATTTATTTGCATATACATATAATCATATATATCACATACACAGAAAAAAGGAAGGAAAAAAAGGGGAAATGGATTTAACCTCCAAACTTCAATTAATAGACATGCGGTCCAGTTTCCTCGCCGGAACCGCCCCCATCTCCCACTCCTTCCGCGCCGCCGTCCGCCCATTCAACCGCCCCATCACGACCACCAACGCCGCCGCCTCCTCCTCTCTAAAAAATCTCTACCCTACACCTTTCTTGAAAGTCCCACCACGAATTTCATGTAAATTACACGCCGTTGCCACTGAGACCTCATCCTCCACCGCCACCCTTGAAGAAGAAGACATAGAGTCCCTCTTTTCGGATAATAATAATAATAATTCGGAATCATCGGAAATGAATTACAAGCGTTTGAACAACAAGAACTCGACCGGGGCGTCGAGTATTTCTTCTGGGGTTAGATTAGAAAACATTAGCAAAAGCTATAAGGGTCTCACTGTATTGAAAAACGTTAGCTGGGAAGTGAAAAAGGGCGAAAAGGTCGGGTTAGTAGGTGTAAATGGTGCTGGAAAAACGACCCAGTTGAGAATTATATCTGGTTTGGAAGAACCGGATTCGGGTAATGTAATTAAAGCGAAAAATAATATGAAAGTTGCCTTTTTGAGCCAAGAATTTGAGGTTTTGTCGAGCAGAACGGTGAAAGAAGAATTTTTGAGTGCATTTAAAGAGGAAATGGAGGTGGCTGAGAGGCTGGAGAAGGTGCAGAAGGCAATTGAGAAGGCAGTGGATGATTTGGAGTTGATGGGGAGGCTTTTAGATGAGTTTGATTTGTTGCAGAGGAGGGCTCAAGCGGTGGACTTGGATGAGGTTGACGTTAAGATCAGTAAGTTGATGCCAGAACTTGGATTCGCCCCTGAAGATGTGGATAGGCTGGTGGCTTCATTTAGTGGTGGGTGGCAGATGAGGATGTCCCTCGGGAAGATCTTGTTGCAGGTATAAAAAAGTTGTTAATATGAGAGTAATTTGAGATTTTTTTTGTAGGATTATGTAGTATGATTGTCTGTTATTTGTATAGGCTGACTTGATGTAGTTGTCTCTTCTAAAGAGATTCGTAGTACAATGCAACTCACTGAAAAATTCATTGATAGGATACGGTATGAAGTGAGCGTGATTTATAAGATAAGTAATTGCTGCTTAAGTAATTTGCATCTTAAAGAATATTCATAAATTTTTTGGTTTGAAGTAATTTACTTGGGAAGCATGCTGGTTGGCAATAGATTCTGTAGGACCATTTGCTATATGGTGATTCTTGGTTAGTGAATCATTTTTGCTTACACTAGGCACTGTTATGTGACTTTTGCAATTTTGAACTAGAGTTAATACCAAGTTTCAATTGATGATCAAAATGTAATACAGTTTACATGATTGGCTGATATTTTATGTGATGATTACCAGGATCCTGATCTGTTACTTTTGGATGAGCCCACAAATCACCTTGATCTTGATACAATCGAATGGCTTGAGGGTTATCTGAGTAAGCAAGATGTGCCAATGGTCATCATATCTCATGACAGGGCATTCCTCGACCAGCTGTGTACAAAAATCGTGGAAACTGATATGGGTGTTTCCAGGACATACGAGGGAAATTACTCTGATTATGTTATTGCTAAGGCAACTTGGGTAGAATCTCAGTTTGCGGCATGGGAAAAGCAACAGAAGGAAATTGAACAGACAAAAGATTTAATAAGTAGGTTGAGTGCTGGAGCAAATTCTGGCCGTGCATCTACTGCTGAAAAGGTACACGCAGATCAAATTAATTACGTGATCTAATCATGAAACTTGTCATGAGTAGCTAATCTGCAACTGGGATAGTTGTTTTTTATATTTAGGTTCTATGATGACTGAGCACACTATATATTATTGTTATCTATATAGATAGTGGGGATCACTACAGTGCATGGTACTTATCATTTATACTGTGTCTTTACTTTTTTTTTCTTTGGAAATCTTGGGAGCAACAGAAGCTGGAAAAACTGCAAGATGATGAACAAGTGGAGAAACCATTTATTAGGAAGCAAATGAAGATCAGGTTCCCCGAGCGTGGAAGAAGTGGCAAATCTGTTGTGGCAATAAAGAATCTGGAATTTGGCTTTGAGGACAAGGTAATTAACATGTTCAACCAATTGGTGGGAAAATCAAAGGAGCAAGATTATGTTTGTCCTGGGTATTTTGATTTAAAATTATCAAAAACAATTCCAAGTTGATATTGGTATTAGGATTATTGCCTTAAGTACCCAACAAATTTTGGGTTTAGGATGCTGAAACATAGATATCTGTATTTATGCAGAAGCTGTTGAGAAGCTTCAATAAATGGTTTAGGCCAAATAATTTGTGAGGAAAAAGTGAAGAGATTCTCCACACGCTATAGAATTAATCTTATATTACTTTTACATTAGCCAACCATTTATTTGCAAATCAATGGAGCATTGTCAGACCACTACAAAGAAAAGTTAGCATCGGCATTTCTACAGTATCTCATGGTTATGTATTTTTTTTTCCAGGTTTTATTTAGAAATGCAAATTTGACAATTGAAAGGGGGGAGAAAATAGCAATTCTTGGCCCGAATGGATGTGGGAAAAGTACATTGCTTAAACTGATAATGGGCTTAGAGAAGCCCTGCAGGGGTGAAGTTTTGCTTGGGGAGCACAATGTATTGCCAAATTATTTTGAGCAGAATCAGGTTTGTTATACTTGTTACCGGTTTCCTTGTGATCCTTAAATATTATGGTGTCTGATTCTTACAATAGTTGGAATATCTGAATACGTGAATCTATCATTGGTCTCCTCTAATCTCAATTCACCATTTGCAAACCTCAAACTGAAGGGTTCTTTTTTTTTTTTTAATTGAAAAGTTTTTTGTTTTATTTTTTCAGGCCNTTAAAAGTTCGCGGTCGCTACAGTAAATTTATTTTATTTAGTTTTTGTTTGGGTGTTTTGCTTCCAAAGTCCTCAACTAGACAACCCTATGGATTTTCTTTCTCACTTTATCATTACTTTTTTATTTTAGTTAAATGTTCCATACTGTATAAATCTTGAATTAAGATGCATTTTATGAATCTCTTTATAGTTATTCCTAAATATTTTTGATAACCAGAGAATTATATTACCTAACAATTTGGGAACAATGATTTTACTAGATATGAAGCTTTTGGTTACTATTGTTATTTCGTGTGAAGAAAAACCATCTTTTGATTCACAAAATTTCCCATTGATTAAATCTGTTTTACATCTTCTATCTTGCAATAGTTTAGTTTAGTTTGATTCTCGAATTAGTTATTATAGGAAATTATTTTTCATTTCCATCGGTTCAGGCTCGACTTGCATTTTGCAAGTTCATGGTGAAACCTTCAACTTTGCTGGTTTTGGACGAGCCAACCAATCATTTGGATATACCTTCAAAAGAGATGCTTGAGGTTCGGGATCCTTCCGTTCTTTCCTTCACTCTACAATTGTTTCCCTTGTTATTCCTCCTTTGATTTGTTCTATTTGTCACATTAGGAGGCAATAAATGAGTACGAGGGCACTGTTATTACCGTTTCTCATGATCGATACTTCATAAAGCAAATTGTTAACCGGGTATTGGAAGTGAAAGATGGAACTCTACAGGATTATGCTGGAGATTACAATGTAAGTCCAGGTTCTCCGGTCGAAAATACCACTTTTAAAAGTTTTCCCTGTGTGCCATCACATATTTATTTTCGACTCACATCACCTTGCAACATCTTAGTAATTTTCAGGATGAACTCGTTCATTAAGAATGAAAACATGAGAAAATATAAATAATTGGTATAGAGAAAAGGGAAATATATGGACATAAAATTTGTTTTACATTTCTCCTGTAGGCTATAAGAGAGTTTTGTTTTTCATTTTTATTTTGATCAGAAGCTCGTATACATGAGTATTCAATCTATTTGCCAATTCTGATACTGTGAAAATTTTGAGCATCGCAGTATTATTTAGAGAAGAACCTTGAAGCCAGGGAGAGGGAACGTGAACGAGAGGCAGAGCTAGAGGAGAAGTCTCCTAAATCAAAAGCCAAATCCAAGATGTCCAAGGTAAATTTACGCTCGTTTTTGCTAATATTGCATGTTTTCGACATAGTATTGGACAAAATTGGACAGTATTAAATGTGAAAAAAAAAAGGCTAAAATTTTGTTCGTAGTGCTGTCAAGTCCTATCCAATAATGTGTCACCACATGTGCTGGTAAGTTTCCAAGTCTCTCACTCATTTCTATTGAGTCAAATTAACATCTAACATTGTTGATTATCCTTTATATTTATCCCAATATCTTTATTTATTGAGATAAAGTAACAACTATTAACATTGTTGATTATCCTTTATATTTATCCCAATATCTTTATCTATTGAGATAAAGTAACAACTATACATATTTTGTATCCTTTAATAGGCGGAGAAGGAAGCTCGGAAGAAACAGAAAATGCAGGCGTTTCAAGCAGCTAAACAGAAGTCGAAAGGGCTGAAAAATGCTAAAAGATGGAAGTGAAAGGTGATGACATTTTATGAAGCTATCTGCTGATAAAGGTGGCTCTTTATGTGTGTAGTGGTGTCAAAATGGATCGAGCTCCTGAGCAGTTAATTTATGTTTCTCATTGTATATAATATGAATAGAAACAGTTTACCTGGTTTAGAAATTATTGAACTTACAGAGCAGTTCATTTTATGCTGGAAGGGGGATGATAAATAGTGTATACAATTTGGCAATATCATGAAACGGTATGTTAGAATGAAATTTTTTCTATTTTTAAGAATTAATTCAGATTGTGTTGTTGATAAAATGAAATGTTTTGTATTAACTAAATGATGCATTTACATTTTGAATGCGTAATAACAGCATCTTGCATGCTATATGGGCCATTTTTCGTAGGTTGAATTTGACGAAAATAAGAATGAAATGTGTTTATCTATCTTTTATAATTCAGTATACCAAATATCCGATAAGAGACGTCATAAATTTCATATTTTTATGGTTTTGCGCGCATAACTCATGTTATTTTTTGCTTCCGACTGACCTTAAGAGTCGATAAGTGATCCAAATCCTAAGCTGAGTTTAAAGACATTGAAGGAAATAATTTTAGCTCAAATATTGTTGAAGATTCGATAAAAATCTAAATTACATGTCCATAACTATAAACGGCAAACAGAAACCTGCTCCTATGTGTACAACATGTATTTCACAACAGAGTTTCAGCCATACTATTCATATTGAATGACAACAGCCTCCTCTGCTATAACCCAGCCTTTATACGATTTTTCTTGATTCAAGTGGGAGCAGCTCTAATAAGAAGAGAGAGGAGTTATTAGCTTGAATGGGAAGATATATAAACAAGAAGCCGAATAAACAAAACCATTTATCAGAAACTGGCCAGTGACAAAGCCATGAGAGTAAATATTCATGGCACGTTTGGATGGCACTAGATAGTATTAAGCAAGAAAAAGAATGATTTTTGTTATGTTCAATCTTTTCCGACATTGTGTACCAACTACAAAGCATGCATTAAGACTTTTAGGTGTTCGGGTTAACAAGCAACTTATCTTGCACCCCATCAAGATGGGGAAGACAACTTCAAACTTGGAACGCATATGCACATACCATAATTTCTGTTTGTCAACTCTACTCGTATCTTCTTTTTCCCTTTTCTTTACCTTGTCTTCTATACATAATAATGCTCAATTTACTATGGATATTACTGATAGATCTACTAAAAACTGTGCCTTCCTCCCTTGCCTAGGAAGTCTCAGAATGGACTGAACAATATTTTCCCACCCCCACCCCCACCCCCACCCCCACCCAAAATAAAAATAAAGAATAAAGAAAAAGAAAGAAAAGACAAGTTGAGTGCCCTCTCTTTTATTCGGGGAAGTTAAACTGGGTCAAAATTCAGCATCACGGTGCTATGAACTTGTTAAGAAATAGTGGCATGAATTTTAAAGTAATCTTGGAAGATGGTGAAAAGAAAAAAAAAAAAAAGGAATTTGCCAGAGACAATGCTACATGTACAGAAGACAGAGTTACAGAATGCCACATGGCATCATTTAATTGGATTTGGAATAAAACGCAGAGTTAAAACAGCCAATTACAGACTGCCATGTGGCAGCCTGTAACCCTGCCTGTACAAACAGCATTGTTCCTAATTAATATAGAGAAATGCTAGTGGTACATTTGGGGCTACATAAGGGTGTCCACAATGGACACCCGGCGCATCCCCATTGGATGGAGTGCCGGTCCCACAGACACTCCATCCAATGGGATTGTGCCGGGTGTCCATTGTGGACACCCTTATGTAGCCCCAAATGTAGAAGAAGAATAACTCATTAATATATTGGTTGTGCTACATGTACATAACGGTATGGATAATGATAAATGTACATCAAAGTGTACATAAGGGTGTCCATAATGGACACCCGGCACCTTCCTATGATGCCGGGTGTCCATTATGTACACCCTTATGTACTCTTTGATGTACAAGAAGCATGGTCCTAACGGTATATATAATAATTTGCATACATATGACGTGTCACGTGAGATATGATTGGGTCAGAGATTCTTTAACCAAATAAATAAAAAAACTTCTCCAATATCTTTTTGACACCTCATTTATATGTAAATAATTATGTAACTCCTTGCGTACAAGTAGTATTATTCTTAATATATACAACCTGAATAACAGTGACCACTGACCTTGGAACAAGTGTAGATAATCAAAGTCATCCAGTCAAATTTCTCTACAAATATCCTCTGTTGATCATCAGCAGCTTCCTGTAAGAAATATATTATGGGGGGCATCAGTTGCATTTCATAGTTCCTTGCCCCACCACAGAGCCTGCATGTCCCGGGATCTCCCACCTCTCCAGAAGCCAGTAATGGCTTTCCACCGTACGAATATCTGAGGGCAGGAGCAAAGTTGAAAGGCCCAGCAAACAACCAAAGATGATGGCATATGACTCAGGAAAGGTATCAGAGCTAGGATATTCGAAGTGAGGGCAAGGACATTATCAACTATTTCATGACAACTAGAAGCTGATAAGTATAAAAAAGCACAATGAAATAACTATAAGTGCATGTTTGGCAAAACTTAAATTATAATTTCTGGTCAAACATACTTTTTATCCACACATTTCGTAAACCTACAGTTACTACCACCTATTATCCAACCATTTCATAAGACCCGTAACTTAAAATCATTCCCAAGCATGCATGCCCTAAATTAATGGATAGATAGTTGAAAGAACTTTTAGATCGTTCAAAGTCAATATTTTACACCATCATGTGTAATCAGGTAACATTTACATATCCACAAAGAAACTACTCAAGTAACTGAGCTTATTCTATGGAGTTTTTTTTTTTTTTGGGTTGGTTGACTGCAGGCATTCACAAAACATTTGTGATTGACAACAATCTCTAAACATTCTTAACATCATCTGAAAAAATCTAATGTAATATCCCGAGAAATTCGTTATAGTCGTTATATTTGAAACTAGGACCTTAAAGTGAGAAATATATTATCTAAGGATCATATTGCTAGTTTATATTGTTTAGGGACCAAATTGTGAACTATCCAAAGTTTAAGATTTGATTGAATTTGGTAGAGTCAATTTCCTACAAATCTAGAATATTGCCATGTATGTACGTTTGTATATGAGGGAAATTGGCAAAAGTATGGGAAAAGATTTTGGTAAATAGTGAGCCAATTATGGAGATTTCCTTTTTATATTTTTAAACATGTTTTATTACCTCCCTTGTCCACACACACGTATCCCACTCTTTTCTTACACACAAGAATCTTTTGACTTTTGCTCCTACACACACAAATACTCAGAGGCAGCTTTTCGAATAATCAACTACTCAACACGCATTTTTTTTTATCATTTTCAGTTGAAATCTACGAGGTAAGTGATGTTGCATGTGGTTACGTGAATCAGTATTTTGTTGATTTAATTTCTGGAAATCCAATTATGGGCCATGTATGTTTATGATAAGAAGGCCGGAGTTTAGTAGCGCTACGCACTGGATTTACTACCACCTATGTTCGGAGTAGTCCATGTGTCTCCTATACGTATGTTATGAAAATTCCATGTTTTCCTTTATTTAAACGCAAATCACTTGTTCACCGCACACACTTATTGAGATTTTTCTTAAATCTCACCCCTTTTAATTTTCCCCCTTTCAGGAAATTGAGATCGTGAGTTTGGAGATGGGAAATCGGTCGATGATGGCAGAAATTGCATTTAATAAAGAGAAATCTATTTGTTATTTATATATATTTTTTATTTTTATATATGGATTAAATGTTGGATTAAATATCATTCATTTTGTTTTAAATTTTGAAAGACATTTATATAGTTTATTTATGAATAAATAAACGATTTTATGTTTGTGATTAGAGATGCATTCATTCCTAATTTTTGCTAAAAATCTGAGTTTTGAAGAAAGTCGGGTCTTTACATCTAAGGTAGAAAAATCACAAGCTAGAATATGAAATCAAATCACACAGGATAGGCATGCCATGACCATCTATGTGTACATAAATTGATCCATAAGGGATGACATAATGTGATTGGGGTGAGGCCCGGGCTACAGTCGCATTATGTCACCTCCTATGTGTACACCTATGTACACATAGCATGACCCTTGTCACAAAGTTAACTTTATGGAGACATTTACCTGAAACATTGCTCAGGGTATGCATCCATTCGTTTTTTGAACTTGAGGTAAGTCCTATCAGCATTCAATGCTTTATCGTATTCATAACTCTCTTGTTCCCATGGTTCCCCATCTGATTCATCATCACGATTTTCTTCATTCTCTTTGGTACAGAGCAAGCTCAACTTTGAAAATTCAGGAATAACGTCTTTCGAGAATTTCTCTTTCTCCGCATATATATAAAAGCAAGGTACCACTGCAAACAAGGAAATAATGTCAATATGAAATTTCCAAATTCTTGAATGTAAAAACAAAACATTGTGGAAATACATACAGATGTAAAAGACAATGTAAACGCCTAAAACCTTTTCCTTTGTACAGGTTCTAGGCAATGTTTTTAAGTACCATGTTCATTAACTGAGTCTACTAAATAAAATAATTCTAACAAATTCTCTCCAACTCAATTAACCAATTTCGGCAACCACGTTCCACCATCAGCAATCAATGGCTCCACCACCTGTTCACAGCAACTGCCCAACAACACCATCCAGTATTTACAAATCCCTAACCCAAAACACCCGCCGGAATCCCTGCCACCACCGCTCCATACGGTCACAGAGATAGATTTTACTTTGGATTTTGAAGTAGAGTTTGATTTAAAATATACTTATTCAGAACGTACATTAGTCATAATATTTCGATAAGACTCTTGTTTGTTAGAAATTCATTTGATTTTAGTTTCTTTTTAGTTTATTTACTCTATATATAGAGGGCTTAACATTGTAATTCACAACCCAAATAAAAATTGATTTCCTCTTGCCCTCAAATCTGCTCTTCTTTGGCCCCCTTTCTCTCTTGTTCATCTTCTTGTGCTTGTCAAATTAGTACGCTCATGCGTCAGTTTCTTAACAAACAAGCAAATAATACCTGGTATTTTATCATCAATGGAGCTAGCAGGTCGGCCTACAGGTAGACGCTTCCCACTAGATGCAGTATCACAACTTTGTTTTTTGGAAACGGAAGTAACACTTGCAGCTTCAGAAAGTGCCCTACCCAACTGCTCCAGATCTATGTCACCATCACCATCCTCACCTCCAGATTCAAAAGACCACAAATCCTCCCGCCAATCATTATTTGAAACTGAACGAGAAGTTATAGGGACCATTTTATCAGAGGGGGATTCCAATTCCACACTGCCAGAAGGCTTCTGAACTCGAAGAACTCTCCAGCTGCATAAGTCGAGAGGATCAATGAGAATAAATAAGTCCAATTGCAAAATTGTTAGAGATAAATAACTACAGTGTTTGGCTAACAGGATCTCAGACAGAAATTTGAAGAGGACCTTACAGGAGTGCTCCTACACTCTGGCTTCACGCAACCAAAAACATAGATCACTCGCTCCTCTATTTCCAAAGATTTATTTGAAATAGGAGCATAAACCTGGAGCAACACGTGTGAAAGGGGAAATAATGATGTCAAAAGAGGAGTAGGGAAGCATAACACATTTCAAATGAAAAATTATCAACGACAACAAAGAGCTGCAGCATGGTCCAGAACTTTAACCTGGACAATGAGACAAAGATTGTTACCACATGCACTGCACTCGAGCAGATCATGCCTCTCAATATTAGCTGGAAAAGGCCAGTCCTGCTCAATAGGAAAGTGAACTCAGGAGTGAGATAAAACATGTACTAATAACACGAACAAGATACTAGAGATAAGATGCACTGCTTACAGGAAGTCCACCAATTTTTGTTGTATAATGATCAGCTGCTTCGTAATTATTATCAGCCCAAGGTCCTGGCATGCCCAGAATGACTTCACCCATCTTGTTTTCTGATTGAACAAGAACTTTGATACAAAAAAACGAAAGGTGACATTTATGACCATATTTAAGCCAAAAAAATTTTGGGATTGTAATCGAACACATGAAAATACTCAATACGTTTGAGGATTGTACTCAAATGAGTGAAAAGAAAATTAGCATGTATAGATGAGACTCAAGCAGTAGATACAAGCTCTATGTTAGAGGTTACATACAATGCCACAGCTTGCATAATCATAAGACAGATTCTGAGGCACAAAAGCAACCCCACTACTCACCATCTCATTCGGAAAACCCAAATAAACATTCTCTAAAACAAGGAGCATGCCAATGCCATCCTCGCACTAAAACAAAAACATGTATGAGATTTTGGTCCTGTGTAATTCAAGAGAAATTGTCGAAAAATCACTGTTCCTAGAGGAAGATTACCATCAAGAAATAACAATTTTAAAAAAATAAATTATTCGCACCAATCAGATCGAGAGCGATTTCAATATATAAATCCCCTTTCTAACACTAATAAAATCCGGTAAATACCTTCCAAGTTTGGTGATGAAGAAGTTGAGTAGAAGCACAAGATAAATTAGAACCAAGGGTTGATGAATATGTCACCCCTTTTTCTCCTTCGCACTAAATTGTTCCCAATTTTATGGTGTAATACAGAGGAAGCAAACCTTAGCCGCTTGTCCCCTTGCAATAACAATTAAACAGGCTTGTATAGTTGGATATGCATGCGTTTTAATTGGGCTTTACAAAAAATACTCATACTTAGAATAGGGAAATTATAAAAAAATCAGGGGTTTAAAGATAATTTTTTAAAAATTAGATCTAAAATTTATTTATTCAAAATTCAGGTAATATATCAAAACTCTAACTATATCTGTGGTGTGGTGTGGTGTGGTCTGGTGTTGGTGGATTTGACGAGGTTTGTTGGATCTGTCTGGTGGCTATGGTGGTTTCTGGCGGTGGAGACATTGGTTTTGCTAGTGAGGTTATGGGTTGAGTATTGTTGGTTTTGTAGGTGAAGGTGTCACAGTGCTGTCGACGATGGTGGCGGCGGCGCGGTGGATTTAGGTAGGAAACAAGCGGTGGTGGTGGGTTTGTTGGTGGTATGTTGGTGGCCGTTGTGGTAATGTCGGCGACGGGGTGCCAGTGGCTGAAGTGGTAGCGCCAGTGGTATGTGACCAAGTATTTGATTATCTATGACCAAGTATGTAACCATGACCTAAAATTTTGACAATATGTAATTGAAAAATAATCTGTGACCAATGAAATTAACTGTGACCTATAAATTTTTGAATTTGTGACCTCGAAATCATTAGTGACTAATTAATTTGATAATATGTAATCAATAAATAAAATGTAACATATAATTATGTATATGTGACCATTAATTGTATAATTGTGATCTAATTAATAAATATTTTTAATTAATCATCTAATATCTGAGTTTTGAATTGTTAAACTATCTACCTGACCTTTGAATTGATGTAAACCATACACCTGAATTATGAATTTTTCCCATTAGAATATACCTTAGGAGGATGGGCTTCTATCGATGTCTAGCTCATGTTTGATGATCATTATTTTCAAACTCTTTTTTTGACATATTCAGTTTCAACTATACATTTATACAATAAAATATTTTGTACGTAAATTTAAATTTTTTCTTTACTTTTTAACTACACATTCTCCTAAAAATCACTATTGAAAACATGTTTTTTTTTTACACATTTAATGGTTATCTAGTGAAATTATAAAAAATCAGTGGTTTAAAATTCAGTTAATATATCAAAACTCTAACCCTAATTCATCACTTTCAACTCCCTCATCTCTCTCTCTCTCTCTCTCTCCGCCTCTCTCTCCCCTCTTTGTAGCACCGCCTGCGTCGTCGAAGACCACGGTGGAGCTCGTCGCTGTGCAGTAGCGCTTCGATGTGCAGCGACGAGCGTCGCTTCATCTCCATCGCCTGTACAGCGGCGAGCGCCGCTTCATCTCTGAGCTTTGCTGTGCAGCGGATCTCTGAGCTTCGCTGTGAACGGCAGCGTCGGCTATCCATCGGCGCAGTCCTTTTTTTTTTTAGACGTTGCTATCCGTCGGAGCTGTCGTTCATTTTTTTTTTTTTTTTTTGATGTGGTGTTGTGTAATGGTAGTTCGATGGAGCTACACCGTGATATTTTTGTGGTGGTTTCTTCCTCCGATCTACTACTTTATGGAAGTTTTTGTGTGTTTTTGTTGGTGATTGTTGCACGTTTAGGGGTTTTATTGGTAGCTATGGTGATTTTTGTCGTGGTGATTTTGGCGTGGATTTAGTGGTGGCGGCTTTGTTGGTGGCAGGGTTGTGGTGTGGTGTGGTGTGGTGTTGGTGGATCTGACGAGGTTTGTTGGATCTGTCTGGTGGCTATGGTGGTTTCTGGCGGTGGAGACATTGGTTTTGCTAGTGAGGTTATGGGTTGAGTATTGTTGGTTTTGTAGGTGGAGGTGTCACAGTGCTGTCGACGATGGTGGTGGCGGCGCGGTGGATTTAGGTAGGAAACAAGCGGTGGTGGTGGGTTTGTTGGTGGTATGTTGGTGGCCGTGGTGGTAATGTCGACGACGGGGTGCCAGTGGCTGAAGTGGTAGCGCCAGTGGTATGTGACCAAGTATTTGGTTATCTGTGACCAAGTATATAACCATGACCTAATAATTTGACAATATGTAATTGAAAAATAATCTGTGACCAATGAAATTAACTGTGACCTATAAATTTTTGAATTTGTGACCTCGAAATCATTAGTGACTAATTAATTTGATAATATGTGATCAATAAATAAAATGTAACATATAATTATGTATATGTGACCATTAATTGTATAATTGTGACCTAATTAATAAATATTTTTAATTAATTATCTAATATCTGAGTTTTGAATTGTTAAACTATCTACCTGACCTTTGAATTGGTGTAAACCNTTTTAATTAATTATCTAATATCTGAGTTTTGAATTGTTAAACTATCTACCTGACCTTTGAATTGGTGTAAACCACACACCTGAATTATGAATTTTTCCCATTAGAATATACCTTAGGAGGATGGGCTTCTATCGATGTCTAGCTCATGTTTGACGATCATTATTTTCAAACACTTTTTTTGACATATTCAGTTTCAACTATACATTTATACAATAAAATATTTTGTACGTAAATTTAAATTTTTTCTTTACTTTTTAACTACGCATTCTCCTAAAAATCACTATTGAAAACATGTTTTTTTTTTTTTTTACACATTTAATGGT